CAATAACTCTAGCATGAATTTTCTGACAGGGATGATGTGTGAAAAAAGAAATTTTATTTGTGTCCACAGGTTTCTGTACAATGGAAAATGATATTTTTATTTAAACAGCTTCCTGAATGGAATTCAGTCTTCCATTAAAACAGAAGTGCTTCAGTGTTAACAAGACTGTTGTGAATTACCTGACTGTTCTGAGATTTTAAAAATCCAGCCAGGAACACAAACCCCCTTGTCTCCCAAATTTAAACTGTCATGGGGGAGTCTATCCTGACCATAGGGAAAGCAAAGAGGTAGCTTGGCTCAGGTAATCTACTTCTTGTCAAAATTGGGCCAGCTGCCCTAAGGCAGTCCTGTGCCATCAATTCTGGAAGAGAGGGAAAACCATTTGCCCTGTGAGTAAAGCTGGCAACAGCTCTTAAAGCAGAAGCAAGAGTTCTGTTTCTACCCTTGGAAATAACAGTCCAGATTTTCTTCTCCACCAAAGAGAGGGAAAAGCAAAATATTAAAAGTCACTGGTTTTCACCTTCCACTGTGATGAGGTTGTACTGTGCTGGTCGGTCTCCAAGAGACTCTTCTGTTCCAGCTGACACCATTTTGGCACTCATACTGTAGATTGCAGGGTGGGGGTAGTGACTGAAATGAAACTTGTTTTCTCACCTTATGATTTCCATTGCTCACTGATTTCTTCAGAGGCCATAATTACACATAAACCTATCATCTACATGTATCTGTAAAAACTGGATTTTGAAGGAGAGAATAAGATACTGAGACTAGAAGAAACTGAAATGGAATATTATTACAATATATTCCATGGGTATTACCTAGAAGTGATTTGGTAAGAGAGACCAAGTACAGTCTCTTGGGATAAGACTCTACCACAAGAGACTTAGCATAATTAAGAAGTCAATATTCTTAAGTACACAGAAAAGAAAGGAACTGCCAAAGGAAGTGTCTTTGAAGAATTTATGGAAAGAAAGGACAAGAAGAATATGGCTAAAAATCATAGGGGAGATGAATTGAGAATTATGCAAGCAACCTGAGTTACAGACATAACTTTGCTCTCAAACCCCACATCAGTGATGGTTGAGATGTTACTGTTGCAGATGATCATGAGGAGAATGTTACATCTTTGAAGGCAACTGGGTCAGATGGGCTAAACTGCAAATAAAATGAATGTAATCCATCTACACACCATGTGAAAAGGTGGCATTGCAAGAACAAAACACATCTCATTATTTACCTCGTTTAAATACTTAGCATTGAATCTGAAATGGATTCATAAATACACAGATCAACGTGAGTTACAGTAAATTGTAGAACTTACCATATTCAGGAGTGATGATGGTAAGTAGCCAATCATATTCTATTGTCTTCAGAATGTCAAAAATTTTTATCAAAAATATGAGCTTGGGCTTCCCACTAATCTCTTCGAGATGAGATTTACTTTGGCAGTTCTGTGTAAATATCAGATCTGCCAGTGAGATGCAGTACAGAGGGTCCACTTCTGACATGGTTTATATGATCTCAGTGAAAGCTGTGCTTGTGCCAAAGAAGGCAGAATGCTTAGAAGGTTGGAAATTAAAATCAGGCCATAACCATCTGGTTTATCGCTGATAGCAGATACCAGAATGCAGTCCAGTCTCCTCTTCTTCGCTCCCCTGAGTTTATTACTAACCAGGTTTGGACATACCATTTTTATTACTACTTCTTGCAATTTTGGGATACATGAACAAAGACATCTATTTCAAATAACATTTAAAATATCCTTCTTTTTGATATTTTGCTTGTGAAAGGTTTTAAAAGAATGACTTTAAAAAAAAATAAATGAGTGCCTTAATATTCGAAAATTAAAAAACAAAACAAAACAAAACAAACAAGAAAAAAGAGTAGAAGATGCAAAAACAGAAATAAAGATAATGTGTAAAATCAGGACTCTCCTGAATGGTTTGTAAAAGTAAATTTTGAAAATAGTCTATTACTAAATGTCAGCTGAGTGAAATATACAGGGCAGAATGAAAAGGGGATTTCCTAGGGAGACAGAACACTCGACTTTCAGAATTCATATGTTGCCATCTTACAATAAAAAGGTAACGTGCTTTTTATTAACTAGCTTGTATTAACATATAGCTTTGTATTAACTAGCACGATCCAAAATTTTAATCTAAGACTGAAGCAGGAGAAGGCCATTATGTCTCAAACTGTAAAAAGACTGAGTGAAAGAAAAAGCCCCTGGCATTCAATGATACTTTTCCATCACGCACAAGTCTACTTCACTCTTCCTACTGGAAAGTAACACGTGCCACGAAAGTCCATGCACGTCAGTGTATCAGATTACAAGAAAGACTATGCTGGGACAGCTATTGGTGTTTCTGTATAGTTTGGAGAAAATGAGCATTTTATGCTGTACTGTGTTTCGTGAATGTGTTCTCAGAAATTATGCTACAGTGAACCAGTCAGTACAAACCAACCACAGGAAATCCTATAATCAGCAGTCCAGTGGTTACCTTCACAGCAGGCACAAAGGGCTCAGGAAATTCTGAGTTTAAAGCATGAACAGTATTAGATATATGTACAACCCACAGATGTAAGAAAGTCTTGTGAGCTGGTCAGAAAGACCATGGCAATTTTTTTTTTTTTTCTTTAACATGGTGTGCTACATTGTTCTTTTAACTACATTAATGTCTTCCCAGGCTTCTTATCACAAATTATTTTTCTGCTAGAGTAATGACATGGCCAACATAGAAGACAGCACTGGACTGCCTGGCACTGCTCCCACAGAAGTGCAGCAAAGATCCAGAACCACAAGCTTAGTAATGTATCACATAAATTATGAAATAAATTTCTGGGACAGCTTTTATTGGACAGTTTAGTCAGAGAAAGTTAGCTGGAAATCCCTTGCCTTCTTCAATCCAGGTTTTATTTTTAGCTTAAAAATATGACAGCCTGTAAAAATCTTCATAATCTGATGACCTGGGTTAGTTTTGATAAGAAAGTTTTCCATACATACAATGAAAATTTGGCCATTTTGAGAAGGCAGAGTGCAGTGTACTGATCCTTTTTTTTCTACAGTTCTTTTTTGTCTTCTTACCAATGAGAAGAAGAATATTGTTACAGTGTCTGTCTGTCTCTCTTGCCACAGTAGAATGGTGAACATGTTGACCAGTTTCAATTAAATGTGACAGACAGGCAAAGGTCTCAACGTTGTGAAGTTCCTGCAGACTCTACAGAGATGACCAACAGTACAGAGGCTAGAGACAAATTTAATGGCCTACTGAGATCAGGGTTGGAGTTCAGCTGCAACCCGTGCTGTCCAGGAGACACATTGTGTGTACCCAGCCATAGCAATGGATGATTATATGCACACATTTCATTTTAGAGATTCCTTAGGTTTTACAGTACAATCATCTCCAAGAAAGTCCGAATGCTTCTATGCTAGACATGTTAGGATGCATGAAGCAAGAATCAATTGCAAGCTTCACAAAAATAGAAGCAGAGAGATCAAACAACTTCAGCTGTGGCACAGATTTAGTATGTCTCTGATTATTCTGTTGAGTTGTTGTTTGTTTAGGTTTTGTTTTTTTGTGACATAGTTAAAATAGATGCAAATTCCTTATTATAAACATTCAGCCATTTAAAAAAAATATTTTCTTTGACTGTGGTAAAACAAAGAGAAGGGTTTGAAAGAGCAGGAACTGGTAGGACTATAAATTAAACGGATTTCAGTGTTCAACCGTGCTGTGAGAGTGAGGAGAGAGAAAAGGAAAGGATGGTGGGAATATGCTTATGGGCAGAAGCAGGACAGCTGGAGTGATGGCAGAGAACAGAATGGGAGAACCCCACTTTCCAGACTTTTCCTCCTTACCCGCCCAGCCTGGCCAAGGATGAACTGTTTTCAATTAGAGTATTGACTTTTTTTCTTTTTTTTTTTTTTTTTCTTTCTCCATTTAAGTGAACAAAGATCAAAACCAGGGAACTTTGCACAGGCGAAAGCATTTTTTCAAATGTTGTGGGGTACATTCTCTACTCCGTCTTCTTTAGAAAAGAGTTCAAGAACAGTAGAATGGATAGTGTACTGTTTCCTTTTTCTCTCATACTCACCTTACAGTTTCTTACAGCTTAATAGAAGAAATAGTAACCAGTCACTTACGAATACCCAGATTCAATTATTCTTTTACAGAAATAACATGAAAAAGATTCTCTTCTATAAAGTTACTGTTAGACTCCTTTTCTAAAATAGGCCCAGTGACCTATTTTTAAGAGAGGTTTAGATCAGCAAAAAAAAATTATTATATACGTATGATATATCCAAGGTATTGCTACTGGCAATTCTGATGTAGTTAAAATATTTTTTTGTTTTGAAGCACAACTTAAAAAACATTCTTCCATGTCATACTGGTTACAGCACAATTCCAAATTAAAGAATGTAATGTGTGAAGTTGGTAGTTTTAATGATATCAGAATAGACTCCTTATTTTCCTGACATTTTTAGCTTTATCTAGAAAAAGAAGCTGAAAACCTTGAAAACCTGTGTTGGACATATTATAATTAAGAAGCTATAAAGAACTATGGCACATGCTCATTTCTAGCTGTTAATTTATCAAAATCATTACCTGAAGCTTCAGGAAATGTGTAATCCTCGAGCTGTCATGTTTTCCTTTTTATGATGACTTAAAGTTACATAACTCAAATGCAACAAATGTGTTCTCTCTCTACAAATCTGATCTGGTTTTGTGTATTAGAAATCCATTATGGCCTAGTTCCAAGCAAGGATTCTTGGATGGCAGAGAAAATTCTTTTTTTCCCTTGCACTTTACTCTCATATTTTGTAGATTCTTGTACCTCTGAGGGACAATTCCATTTTTTGAATCAAGAATGATGCTGCAAAATGCAAAGGGGGCATACAGGTGCTATCTCACAAAGATACCAAATTTAATTTTTACTTTGCAGTTCTGAATTTTTTACTCTGCAGTTATTTCATCTGAAATAAATTGTTCTATGGATGCTTTTTGTTCAGAACATTTTAATAAGGAAGTATATACATGTTATAGCAGAGCCATCAAGATAAATGAAAATCCTGCAATGCAGCTCAGTAACAACAACAGAAAAAATAACACACCAAGATCATAGCACCTTGCAAACCAGTTAGCACCAGTAAAGAGCCCAGAGGAACTGAACACTGTGGTAGAATGCAGCTTCTCAATAACCTCATCTGTGCAGTACAGAGGCTGCATATTAACATCAGACCTCAAGCACATTTTCAGGTTTCTGAAAGCAATGGAGAACCTTTAATTGTCTGAGGCATGAGAGACAGTTATTGTAATTTCAAAACAGGTATCTTTCTAGTGATCTTGTTCTCTGAAACATTGAAGAGAAAGACATCTCCCTGGGATGCTGTGTATTTCCAGAGTAAAATCATGAACTGCTTCTGTCTGTCTTCAGGTTACTGAATGCCTTTTAAGGGAAGCACATTCCTCTTCCCCTTCCCAGACATCTGAGAAGCAAAGTAAACTAAAAGATCTCCTTGTGAAGACAGGAATTTATTTCTTCAGTTATTTCTCCTCGTCTTCTGCATGCTCATTGTACTTAAGATAGCAAGTATTTTGTTGAGGAAATCTCTTCATATGCTTGATTGAGCCCACAGACATAACATCACTCCTGTAGGACCCAGTGATGGAGACAGATGGGAATAAAACATCTCTCATCACTGTGGAGAGTTGTAGACCCTAACAATGAAACACAGCCCACTTTCCCCTCTTAAGAATGTAGGAGAAAAGAAAAAATGAAAAAGCTAAGGATATGGAAAGTGGAAAATCCATGAACTTCACATGCAATTAATCTGATAGAGTCTGATATACTCTAAATCTCTCTCTGAAGGACCTGAAATCCCTGCCTTCTGGCCTCTCGCTGATAAAGTTTCTCTCTGCATTCATCATATTTTTTCATAGCAGATATTGCTAAAACGCCTTCTCACCTAGCAGTTTTCAAAAGAGCCACCATCAGATCATAATTTCAGCAAACATTGATGATGCATTCCTAAGGGACAAAGAATAGCAGAAAATTGCACGGGAAAGCCATTTTGTCTCTTCATAGTAGTGACAATTTTTTCTTACAGCATGGTATCTGTGGTTGGTATTCACACCTCAGGAAGGGCATGAAAGCTAGAAAGAATTCAGTAAAAAGTTATGAAGCATGATTTAACAGTTGATTGCAAAAACCCCAAACCCATTCTCAGGCAACTCAATTCAAGAAAAAGTTAAGAATGACTTTTCAGGCCTTTTTCCTGAACAAGGCATGCTCCTTTTAGATAAGCACTGACTGTTCTGATACCTACTCTGCAGTTCAGTTTGTATTCACTTAAATCTTGGAAACAGCATGGAGCTGAGAGAAACCAAAATGCAAATCTGTGTTTTGAAAGGCTAGCTGGGAAGATACAGCAGGTGAACAGAGAAAGCATCAGGCTTACCATCCCCCTTAGAGAGGGTTCTGTCAGAAAACTGATAGAGGTTTATGTGAATCATTCACTTGCAAATAGAGAAGGAGAAAAGTAATGAAAAGATCAGCTTGAAGCAGGGGCAAGCTTAGAGAAGAGATCCCCCTCCTTCCATTTGGTATTGTAAGGATGAATTAGGATCTGTGTGGGGCTTATTGGTGTAATGATGTTACAATTTTCCCTTCTTGCTTGTTTCTTTCAAATACAGATTCTATTTTCACCCACAGCCCCCACTGTCTTCAGCCAGGCTGAAGGTCTTCACATTTCTGAAAATTGTGCTTCAAATTTCTAGTTGCTTCAGTTCTGTTTGTTCTTGATGAAAACTCATGTTCTTAAAAGACTGTATTTCTATCAGTCTGTAACAATCCTCTTGAGTACCAGGGAGGAGTGAATGAAGTAGCCTCTATGGTGACACGGTCTGTAGACATCTCTTCTGTTTCAAAGCTAGGGGTGAACACAGGACACAATCAGGATTTGTGGTGATAAAACATTCACAGGTAGCTCCTTCCAAATCACAAGGGAAGTGAATTTCTAGAGAAAATTGCTCAAGCCTGTTGACAGAAATGAATGCCTGATTATAACAGAAATACAAACCAACTGAAATTACAATTTAATAGGCTAAAAAAAGAATAAATTTTCAGCTGGCATGATGTGCTTTACCCCTCTTAAAAGATGCCATTTAAGAGAACTGTAACCTCTTTATACGCAGAAGAAAATACATATTTTGTCTTGGTATAGGAGCAATGTTCTCTTTCCTGACTGCTTGCAGTCACTTCTCTTGAAAAACTAAGTCTTAAGAACTGATCCATATATAGTTTAAAACAAAAATGTGAGTGAAGGCTAGAAATGCTTTTACACAGTGCATGGAAGTGCAGAAGAATGTATATATAGTTCTCAAGAAAACACACTTTAATAAGAGTAAGAAACAAAGCTGATTGTTACAAATCATTGATACTGCTATTATCAGCCATGATCCAAGGTAATATATATGTAAACTGCTTCTAGAGAAAACTCAGAACAGGGTGACTGCAAATAAGAAATGGTGTTTCTAAAGATAAGAAAACAGAAACAAGAACTCTCAAACAGCTGCTCTCTCTATTCTCCTCTGAGAACAGGAGGAAAGGATTTCAAAGTCTTTGATTTTGCTTATTATTATCATCATTTTTTTCTAATCCAGGAATTCAGATTCTTCCTCAGTCTCATGTTAAAGCTGCCCTTATAAGTAGATATAAGCTGAGATTGTGTCTGCCTGTACAACAGAGATTCTTATGGTCTAATACAGTAGTAATGAAAATCAGGAAAATTTCAGGAACATTCATTGTCCTTAGTTGCACTTGGGGGAAGTAACACTGAAGACCTGGAATCTGAATATTTCTTATTGCCTCCATGTTTCCTTCGCTGACCTGAACACTGGCTTTGCAGTCCGTTTGCAGCACCTGGTGTGTGTCCTACTGGGAAGTTCCCTAGTGAATCTCTGCATTGGAAGTGAGCCCTTTGCATTTTGATTCAGCTTCAGAACCAACTGATGTCTTTGGCAGGAGGAGTCACAAAACTGGCTGCAATCAGTGACTGATTTCCTCAGTTTTGATTTCTCTTTTCTCATCATATTTAAGCCTTCTTGTAACAAGAAAGTAGCATTTTAATATGAAAATATATTATGGAACTTGGAAGTTTTCAGAAGGGCACAATGTATAGTTTGGGGTGACTACAAAGGTACGTTTAAAACACAAAAATAATACAAGGCATATCATTAATTTTGTACAATGATTCTAGGCTTGTTTTAAAACGTAACATAGTATGCTGTTGATTTCTAAACTGTTTATTACAGTCTACTTCTACTCTTTATCTTTGTTAATTAAGCAGACTTTTAACCAATCAAACAAAAAATTTGTTGAAAGCAACCAATTAGGAGAGTGATCTGAAAGCAAATCTCATTCACCATTAGCCCCTCGATATTCAAATAATTATATAATGGACTTACACAGATCTTTGGCTCTGAAAGCGGAGTCCACTACACTTTACCTTGAGCTCTTCTGGTGGGTAGTTGTCCTCTGCTGTTCAGAATACAATAACAAAGGTAATTAGTTTTGTGGGATTTAGAAGATTTTGGCAAATCTTAGCCTTTTATCCAAGAATAGCTCCAAATCAAGTGACTTCATTCATTTTATACACATATCACAAACACTACATATAGAGAGATGAATGCTATAGTGGTCTGATTCTTCACCCACCAGTAAGAAAAAAACGCAATTAACCTGAATGAAAAAATGAAGCACCTAAGTAAATGTAAATTTAGATAAATGTGAGAATTCTCTCTATACTATATTATTTATTTATTTCCTTAGTAAGTTGTTCCGACTTTTTAGCTAAAAGCCACTAATAAACTCTATGAATAACATAATGTCCAATGTCTTTTTATGTGGTCTATATTTACAATTTAACACATTTTGTAGAGGATACAGAGAATCATTAGTCTGTTCCCATCTTCTTTTGACAGACAGTGGCAAAAAAGTTATATCTTGGACTTGCAAAGCTGAGTGATGAGGCAGAAGTACCCAGATCCCACAGAAGTTCAGCTGGAGTTGAGCTTTAATGGGAGCAGGGCACTTGTCAATATTTCACTCCAATATAGAGCAGTTTGCCTCACAGTCAATTTTCTCCTCTAACTCCCAGCAGTGTAGCAGGATTTACATATACACACTATAAAATGAATTCTGAACTCAGTTCCCGTTTGCATTCTCCATTAGCCTGTATTTAAACAACCCTGATGATGGTTGATTTTACTCTCTAGCTATATGTTTTCCTTGCTGAATATACAATGTGTGATCAGAACAAAGTCACTCAAAGAACTGCACTGAAGATTTTCTATCCTATTAGAAGTCACAGGTCTAGGTGATGTTAGAAACCAACGGCAATGGAAAACCTTAACTATCTGTTGGTGAGGGTGCTCTGCGTGAGAAAGTTGCTGGTGTTTGTGCTTTTAAAAATAATATTTTTATAACCAAATATTTATTTCTCAAAATCAGGGACATTTCTACCCAAACAAAAAGTAGCTGTTCTCCACAGCAATGGCAATCTTAGCAGAGCTTCTTTCAGAATCAAAGCCACATACGTTCCACCAGTTATTCCTGGCTAAACTCTTCGTGAAGCTGATGGCAAACAACAGGCCCTATAGATGTCAATCAACAAATTAAATACTCCTGGAATGAAGGAAGATTGATATAATCCCTAATTTTACCCAAAGAATGAGGTTAAAGACCTCTGTGAAGGGTTAATGAGTATAACCTGCCCAGCAATGCACATCCATGAGCAGACCCCAATCTTATCCATTCGGTGCTTTTGCAGAATACTGAAAATTCACAGGGAAACAAATCAAAACAAAAAAACCCACCAAAACACCTATCAAGTGATAACTTACTCCTGAGGAAATGTATGACTGGCTTCAGAAACCTCATTACATAGCCAAGTTCAGACTTGTGGATTCTGCCAAGCTGAACCAAATGCTGTTCCAGACGAGCGCTTATAAGCTCTTCCAGCTCATTTCTGTCATAGCACTTTCCTAGTATATAGCCTTGCAGGGAAATTTTTTTCCAGGGAAAATACCTTGGGTCAAGAAAATAAAATGGAATTTTCAGAATTACAATTTTTCCCAGTATTGCTGAAAGTACAACAGTCAATCTTCACAATGATGTCCCTCACAGAAGAGAGTCTTTGTGATATTAGTGACCTTCACCAAATTGTTGACAAATCTGGTTGGGAGTCAAAGTTGATCAATATTCTAAAAATCGCAAAATGACTGCAGTCAAGACTTTTAAAACATTTGCTGATCTTTCAAACTACTTTCTATGAAAAGTAAATCCAACTCAGACCCACAACATACAAGTAGATTGTCCAGATTCCAGCAGAATAACAAATCTTTCTACCATGCTCTCAGGTGGGCTAACAGCTGCTGCACTGCACAGATTCATCATAAAGAAGTCAGAGGATCTCACATGCTATGAATGTCCGACCATTAGCTGAGTCACAAAAAGAGATATTCTCTGTTGATATTTCATCTCTCTTTCTGACCACTATGTGTCCCAGAAGGTATATATAGAGGTACTCTCCAGCTTTACATAGTGATGGAAAGACCAGAAATGATCTTCTGAAAAATAAGGAAGGAGAGAAGGATGTAGGTTCTAAGTCCTATTACCTGTTTTCACTAGTCTGGGAAGATACTGGTTTCTCAGAAGAAAGTATTGATTATCACTGCTACAGCTTCTTAAAGGCTAGTAAACTTTGTCACCCAAGGTTTTAAAGCTGAAGGACACTGGTAGCTTTGCTCTGTTAACATTTAATTAATAGCTTCTTTTAGGATACAATTCAAGTAAATGTATTCTTTTCAGCCAGGCATTCTGGTCAGACAACTATTCAAATACCCTGAAAGAAAACCATGTGCTCATCCTAGGTGCAAGGTCCCAAAAAGACAGGAGCAAGGAAATGGCTTTAGGTGTTTAACACCACATTTGATGAAGCTTAAGGTGGACACATATTCCTCCAATTCAAGTATTTTCCTTTGAAATGGATTTGGCAGCTATAAAAATGCAATGATAGGTTGCCAGTAAACAATGTTCACTGGAAACAGATTCTACTTAGGAATTTAACACATCAATAAGAAACCAGACCAAATAATTTTGCTAGGGCTACGTAAAGCCAGGGTAACACCTCAGCCCTTCTGGTTATCTCACTGCTCTTCACAAGGCAACTCTCCATAGTACTGTATTTGTCTTTTAATGACAATTCAAAATACTGTACTGGTCTTACCATAGCACAGAGTGCAGAGCTGAAGTCTTTGTAATGCTTCATTACATTGTCCACCATGAACATCTAGCACCTGAAACAATCCAGAGTCATCCATCTAGAAAAAAAAAAAAAATAAAGACAGCGGGTAAGTACTGCTGAGTATGTGCTCTATGACTTTTTGCTGTCGATGAAGTATAAATTTACTGCATAAACCTGGCCCAGAATATCTATTGATGAGGGGGAGAGGGATGCACTGCAGACACGGCACATACCCCAGTTGTGATAATCTCATATAGACTTGTTCCTAAAGAAGCCCTAAAATGAGATAAAATCTTTTTTCTAGTGCTATTGTGAAACAAGCAAAAGAATTCCTATCTGCATGTGTTTATGCTAGATCCTCAGCTGACAGATCCCAGTGGAAATTCTGCATTCTCAGAGTGTGATAAAATGCATGACATACAAAGATCTTCATATGTAAAATATTTAACATGGTCAAAAGGTCTGGCAAAAGCTTCAGGTAGAAAAATTATCTACAGAAAAAGCAAACTAAGCAATCTGAGTTGATATCAGGTTTTTTGTCCTCTTAAAAATATTACTTCAACATTTGGATTTGAATATAGCTGTTTCTTCTTAAAATATTTTTAAAAGCTACCGATGGACACAAAAGGAAATCAAATTATGTTATTGATAAAAGTCTTACATATTTCATAAACATTTATCCACATGTTTGGACGCATATGTATTGTTTCCATACATTATTATATATTACTAAACTGTGAATAAACTGTCATAAAGTCTGCCAGTGAGGTCTGGCATACACATGAAACTGCACAGAGCATTGTCACCCTCTTGAAAAGAAGTTCCTTGCCTTACTGACACCCTGGTTCTGCTAGATATCAATATTTATGCACCTCATGGAAAAGAGACCAGAATGCTTTTTATAGCACTATTTGTCTGAATCCACAAAAGCTCCACCCTTTCTCGTGTCCTTGCGACAAAGCACAAACCCCTCAATGGGTATGTCTGCCTGGGTTCTCCCACAGCTTAAAGGGAAGGACAGTGATAAGCAGTGATAACAAACAGTTAGAGCTTTATCCACAGCAACAACACCTTCAAGAGCTGTGGTTACTTTGGGGAAGGAATGAACTTCCTTCCTTTCCCAGTATCTGTCATTAAAGTTCACCTTTCAGGAATTACTCCAACAAGACTTCTCTTCAGAATAAACTAAGGGAGGATTTTTAAGTTCACTGTCACAAATACAGAGAATGTCATCTGTCTGGGCCAAAACCCCTGGGAGGCTTCCAGGTCATTTAGCACCAGCTTTTTGGATCGCTTTCATCCTCACTTATGAACTTTGTCTCTGGACAACTGTTGATTTTCCTTACAGAAGGCCTTGAAACAGCAAAACTAGTTCTTTGGTTTCGCCTGTGCCCAGAACCAACTTTTGTTCTGTCTGTGTCTGCCCCCTCACACTACTTGCTCTGCTCTAACAGATGCAACTTGAAATGAACTTCCTTACATTTACAGTAGGAATAAAGAGAGTAAACTTCGTATCTGCCTAGGATGTGACTCTTCTCACACAGGGGAAGCAGCAGCAGTGATCACTGGTATCTTGTGATTTTTCAAAGGTGAACAAAGTTTAAATCTGTGCTGGATTCCAGAGCACGTATACCTTAACCAAACTACATAATCTTTTGTATTAGCATTTTAAAGTGAATTTTTTAATTAATTGGTTTTAGAAAGAAGTCACAGCTCTTTGGATTGTGACAATGAATGCTGTAGGAAATAAGTAAAATCTAGTGAATCTGAAAGGGGTGGCAAGTCAGACCCTGCTGGGTTTGCTCTCATGAGGAGGCCTGAAGCATCTGCACAAGAACAAAGATATTCAGTAAACTTGTGTTTCTTCTCTGTAAACCTCTAAGATGAGCATGACAACTGAGGAAAAGGAAAAGGTTTCCATTTCAGATAACTCATCTGCAATAGAAACCACAGGAATGGGACTAAATAGTTCAGTCTTAATGAGAAACGCAGTCTCCCTTTGGGGTTATCCACAAAAGTCCCACTGTACATAATATAATTTCCTAATAGACTATACATGACATGGAAGTTCTTTTCCCAGATAACATTATTTAATTATACAAGTCAGAATAAAAAACTAATAGGCTAAAATAACTTTGGACACTGCTCCATGAGTTTCAACTGTATGTTAGAGAAATACAACATAATCAATTTTAAACCAACAGTTTTACTTTATAAGGTAGGGAATGAAGGAAGAAATATATCTTTTAAATTAATAAAATCCTTCCTATGTTGCAGTATTATAATTTCTGCAAGGTCACATATTATATTTTAGTGAACATTAACATGATATAAGTCAATAACTCTATTTCCTTAATGTAAAAATCTTTCGTGACTTGCTCACAATTCTTTTTTCATATATCCTTTTTCTCATTCCTCATCAGACAAAAATAATTTACTCTCAACACAAAATGTATAGTTATTGCACAGTCTTTTTAACATTGTTCCATAGAAATATACCCTCAGTCCATAACATATTCTTTAATGCCAAGTATATGTCACTACATTTGGACCTTTCTGTCTAAAATGAAATTACAGGATTTCCTAGGACATTTATAATACACAAATCACATTTCCCTGTAGGACCACTCAGTAGTATTAAATGAGGTGCTACAGTTATGAAATCCTTTCTAACATTTTTTCTTTACAGCACGTGACCAGAGTATAACATCCTTTCTGAAACTAAACAGCAGAATAATAAAAATGAAACCATACTTTAGTGAACTTGCAGTATACAGCAATTTATTTTAGAGGATAAAGTCTATCTGCAGTACTTGCACAAAATACCCTATTAAGAGCAATGTGACTTCTAAAAATTTTGAGTTTTATTACTCAAAATATAAGAAAAGGGCAGAAACCACCTCAGAACAGGTTTTGAATTTTCATTAGCTGCTCTATGGGCACCACTGATTCTCATGCTTTGCAAAAGAAACAGTTTGTTCGCTTGAGGATTTTGAAGACATCAGTGATAAGTGCCGTCAACCTTAATAACATAACTCTAATACAATTATTGCAACAATGGATAAGAGATATTTGCACTGTGGGACACAACACCCAGCTAAGTATCCAGGCTGCTTGGCTGAACTATGCTTCCAGCTCCAAAGGCTCCCTATGCTCATGCCATTTCACAGTTCCTTTGTGAAAATGGTGCACGAACTGTGTCAGATGCACTGCCTCCCAGCGCGCCTTTTCCCGGGGTCCCTTCCCTGCACTGGGCTCCTAAGGCAAGATGACAGAAGCTCAGTTATTGGCCTTTCAACCATTTTCTTTAGAAAAGTGTCAGAGAAAGGGCAGTAAGATCACAAGAGGAAAGCACATCAGGTGGCAAAATGCTGCTTACGTTCCTGAGAACTTCTTTGTAAAGTGAATGTGCATTAACTCATAGGTAAAAGTAGGACAGACACACCTACTTAGGAGAAAATTGCTCTGCACCAGAACAGACAGCAGAGGCATTGTATAGTTTTTCTCTTGAAGCAGAAGCTCCATACCAATCCTTCTTCACCCAGTTCCTCACAACAAAGAACCTCATCCAATATGAGGCAGCACAAAGCAAAACAGGACACCTGGCAGGCACACAGCCTTGAGACAGAGTACCCTCTTAAAAGTTTTTTTAGAATGATACTTCATACGTTTAACTTCCCAGAAGCCCAGAAAAGCAGCAGTGAGGGAAGGACTTAGCACCATTCTTGATCATGAACACCTTCATGAGTGATAGAAAGATGATGCTAGACAGAGATGTACCTTCGAGATGCACATCCCCATATATCACTAAACTGGCCTGTTTATATATTTTATATTTAATCATCCACCTAGGGGTCTTCAGCAAGATGGTACAGTGCTGGTAACCCAAGGTTTTAGGAAATTACCTCTTCTACTCTCACAGAGTTCCATGTATTCCATCCATAATGTTTCCACACGTTTCAGTGGTTTCAGGGCACCTCCATGGTAAACACTAAGACGAGTACAGGCCTTGAACTGCCATAGATATTTCTGTGACAAAACCTCCAGCCAGTGTCTGCGATATTCCAGAATACTGAAAATCCAATCTACAAACAAACACAAGTCTACTCCTAACTTTGTGTCTCCAAGTATGTGATCTCATTTAATTTGTAGAAACATCAGGAAAATTGATTAGGGAAAGAACTTGGAAGCAAAGAGATAATGGAATAGACAGAGAAGAATCTTTAGTTTCATTGATCCTAGGTAAGAAAGTGAGACTTAAAACTAAAAGATAAGCACTCTCTGAGATAAAGCCAGCAACCTCATTTCAAAGCTATTTCATAGAAAGACAAATTCCAGCACATGAACCATTTGCCAATGAGAAAAGAGAGAGCTTCTGAAATACGTTGCCAGGAAAGCACAACATACAGACCTTGGGAGAGATGACCACGCTCCTTTACTACTCACATTGCATTTTTTTCTAGGAAAGAACATTCCAAAAGGATGATGAAAAGCAGCCTCAGTAAAAGTTCTCAAGTCACACTGACCTAGAAAACAAAGTTTGCCTTTTAATCTGAGGAATTGTTTTAAGAATCTCTAGCATCCTTGGCAGTTAAAGTGGACGTAATTTACTAATGTTGCATTTATCACCTTGATGAAGATCTAGTAACATCTAGTAACAGGGCCACATGAAAGAGGTATAGAGCATGCTCCAAGTACATTGGAAGAATTGTCGCCTTCAGAAATCTCCAATATTAAAACACTATTTTTATCCTCATAAGAGTTAACTCCTGAAGTCCGGACAACAGGAAAACCACAGACAGTTGTTGCTATCTTAACTATTCCTGTGGTCAGTTCTTGAAAAAACGTAGCATGCCAACATGCCAATACCAAACATTCGTAGTGGTTTACCTAGCATTCAATATTTTAGTTCTTTGATTTTTTTCTTTCTATTAATTGCTACACATATTTCATATCCATTAAAAGCTATGGAAATGCCAGTATGAAGAACAAGAGGGGGTTTTAACTCTAAATTATTTATTATGCGTTAGGAGCATTTTCCATAATACCACTCTCTTTTGGTAGCT